TCTTCCTTTTTTGTGCAATTTTTTTGGTTTTTGGTTTGGTTTTAGGGAGAGGTGCGAGTTTGATGCGGAAACTAGCAATGGGGTTGTTCCACAATCCACCTCTTCACCTCAAGGTCTCACCTTTTTCTCATCATCCTACTCTTCTTTGTTCTTGTGTTGTTTGCCTTTCATCATTTGATGCACCAAATCATATCATTATCATTAGTAGATAGTAACTTTAGATCTCATGGAATAATGTAACGAGGGATGGTCTCGACTTATCGTTTAGTAGTGATTTGACTCAGTATCGTGGTGTAAATTCCTACATCTAACTTCGTGGAAACAAGAGCATCTGGGTTATTCTCGACTTATCGTTTAGTAGTGATTTGACATAGTATCGTGGTGTAAAATCCTATCTAACCTCGTGGAATGTTGTCGTCTTCTCCGCAATTGATGTTAAGAGTAACTAGCTTGTTTCCATTATTTCTCCGCAAAGGCTCGACTTGTAGAGAGTAGTATTTCAAATCTATGTCGGAATTAGCCAATGCAAAGATGATCATTGATACTGGGTGTTCGGATAACACAGAGTCTACGGAGATGGTGGATCAGTTAGGGTAAACTATGCAAAAAAAACCCATTGATTTTTATCGGTTTTGTAACAGCTTGGACGAACTGGGGTTCTACAAAAAGTGGTCTAGTATTTCGGGACTTGAGTTATATCGTGATAACTTATAACATTACTCGTTGGAGTACGTTTACTCATCTGGATTTTGTGTTGGCTTATCAAAGTTCTAACTTTTTTAAAAGATTTGTAGTGTCCGTTTTGGTCCGTTCTCGTGAGATCTTATGGGAGACTTCCTCTGATCATGATACATCATCACTTAGCTCATTTGAACATGTGATCGAAAAAATTTATTCGTTCGAACTTGACAATTAAAGCGAACATATCATGAGCTATGAACTTGAGTGATAGCTGAATTGGTTGTTTGTTGTAGTGGTGGGGCGGTGGGGCGAAAGGGAGAGGGAATTTCCATTAAAGAAGAGAAGAAGTGATGATCACAACAACAATGGAAACAAGAAGATGAAGAAGAAACAAGAAGAACATCAATCCAAAATGGGTCTCAACCTCGCCGGAAAAAGGAAATCGAGAGGCGGCGCTTTAATGGAGGGATCTCGGTGCAGCCGCGTCAATGGAAGAGGGTGGCGCTGCTGCCAACAGACCCTCGTTGGTTACTCTCTCTGTGAACATCACTTGGGAAAAGGTCGCCTCCGCAGCATGAACAGCGTCCGCAGCCGATCCTCGGCCGCCACCGTCGTCGAGAAAGAAGATAACAAAAAGCCTTCTCCATCACCATCCCCACGGCCACCATTGACATTGACTAGTAAGAAGAGAACGAAGCTCGGTGTAGTGAAAGCAAGGTCGATAAGCAGCTTGCTCGGCCAACCCGACAGCGTGATGGCGCTGGCACCACCTCCGCCTCTACCTCCTACACCGCCGGATGACAACATTGACGGTAAGAAATTATAATTTACTATTTAATCGATCCTTAATCTTTTAGGTAATTTCGGTTTCGGTCTTTGTTGTATTTTTAAAATTTTCAATTTTTACACGTTGAAAATTTTCAATTAGATTTTTCTTTTTTTAATTTGTTGAGGAAAAGTTGATAATTATTAAATTATGATTTTATTAATATATCTAAAATTTAAGCTCTATTTAATTTTTATTTCTGATTATTTAAAATTTTATTTGTTTTCTCGTTATTTCTTTACAATTAATTTCATCTTTTTGTAATAAAATATTAGAATTCTTGTAAACGACACTAAAATGTCAGTGTCGTGGTCGGACCCACTGATTAAATCCTCGTGATTAAGAAGCTTATTATATATAATTAGTAATTAATGTAGTCAATTAACTCTAACAAAATTAGTTAGTTAATTAATTAACTGAGTTTTGAACATTAATCCCAACCTAAGCATGCGTGGAGTAAAAGCCAAGAACATTCGTTCTATATTATTTAACGCTTCTTTTAAGGATGTTTTTTTTTCCTCCCCCTAATTCAACCCTTAATTCCCATTCAAAAATTTGTATTATTGGATAATGAAGTTGTGAGCCTCACGATTTTAAAACGCGTTGGTTAGAGAAGTTCTACATTCTATAAGAAATGTTTCGTTCTTCTCTCCAACTGATCTAAGATCTCACAATCCACCCTATCGGGGACCTAGTGTCCTCGCTGACACACCACCCCGTGCCTTGTTCTCAACCTACTTGTAATAGTCCAAACTCAACGTTAGTAGATATTGTCGGTTTTGACTCATTACGTATCGCTGTCAGCCTCACGATTTTAAAGGGTATCTAGGAGAGGTTTCCCACACCCCTCAAATGAGTGTTTGTTCCCCTATCCAACCGATATGGGACCTAACAATCCACCCCCTAGAGGGCCAACATCCTTGATGGCACACCGCCTGAAACTTGGCTCGGATATCATTTGTAACAACCCAAACCCCATTGTTAGTAGATATTGTCTGTTTTGGCCCATTACATATTGTTGTCAGCCTCACGATCTTAAAGCGCATTTGCTATGCTATGGAGAGGTTTCCACACCCCTTCTAAGGAATGTTTGTTCTCTTGTCCAACCGATGTGGGACCTAATAATTCACCCCTTAGGGGGCTAACATCCTCGGTGGCACACCGCTCGAAACTTGGCTCGGATATTATTTGTAACAGCCAAAGCCCACTGTTAGTAGACATGGTCTGTTTTGATCCGCTCTCTCTCACCCTTCCCACCATCTCACCCTCCTCCCCTTTCCGACCTACCCTGATGGCTCTTTCCTTTGTAATGCCTGCCGTGTCATTAGCACCGCCTTCTGTTTCTCCTGCATCCTCTACGACATTAACTTTCATGGTGATTGCACCATGTTACCGCAACAACTCAACTCGAGTCTCAATATTGGGGTTACAGTTGCTCATCTTGTAACTGTCATGTTCATACCTATTACGCCACAGCCGAGGCTGAGCCGCCGGTTGGTGGCGTGAGAAATGATTCGTACGTGTAGTTTGCGACGGTTGGGTAGGAGGGTACCGGTGGAGCACCGGCAGCCGTAGAAGAGAGTCCAACGGTGGTGTTGGTGGATCCGATTCTGAAGGCGCAGGCGGAGCTGCATGAGATGGCCAAGATGATGGCGTCCGTTAACTTGAGTTCTCTTGTGTGAATATAATTAATGCATGCTTTATTTATATGATTTCTTTATATATTGTATGCATTATGTCGTTCAATTATTTCAATTCAAATATGCTTATTTTCAAGCATATATATTAAAAAAATAATAGTATGTATAGTAATTATCGATTATTTTAAGCTTTCATAACAATATTTTTCTTTAACAAATTTTAAAGAGGGTCACGACACGTTTATTATAGAGAAGGTCTAGCCCTACTCCAACCAGTATCTAACGTTTCATAACAATATTTACTAACGATGAGCTTGAGCTGTAACAAGTAGTAACTTTTGATTGGTTGATCTTATTCTGCGACTTAACTTTATGGAATAGGTTTAAAAAATAAATCACGTTTAAAATATCATTATAATCGATATTTTGGTATGTTTTATTTTTGTGGTACGGTTTTTCATTTAATTTTAAGGAGGTGGTAATTTTATTATTGATTCAAATATTAGATAAATATTTTCCTTAAAATTATAAAGTAATGAGAGATAGAAATGAATTAATATATGAGCATTACAAATACAATAAATAAATTGTCAATTGCATATGTTGAAATTAACAATTAGCATATAGTTGATTAATAATCATCAAATTGGTGTTTAATTACTATGGTCAATTATGATGATGTGCTAAAAATTTGAATAGTCTAAGAAATAATATGGTCTTATTCATTGCTTCATGTAGATAACCCCTAAATTAACGTATTTGACAAGTTTTGAAGAACGATTCTTCTTCCCCTTATTTTATATTCTTTTTTTTTCTTTTGAGATTTAGACGTTTTCATAAAGTTGACAATTAAAAGTAATGCTTGTCAGGAAACTACCGTACGTAAAAGTGATGTACGTAGGGCCGAAGTATACAAAGTTATGCACATTTAGAGAGAACTAGAGTGCATGAAAGTGATTTTTCTGAGCTCGTCCGGTGGGTTTGGAATGCATGAAAGTGATGCACATCTTGAGGAAAGAAAAGAAGCGAGAACTCAAGTGTTGAGTTTAGGTCCCACCAGAGACATGTTAGTGTAAGTCGTAATTGATGAGCTCTAACAATAGGGTCACTTATTATGTAATTTTTTTTTTAAGATAAAGACTAAATTTTAGACATTTGACGACTTCTACTATTGAGACGGTGGAAAAATTAGGATAGAATTTTGTTTTTGTATGAATTTTCCATTCTTTAAATAATTCATGCTAGTATATTTTTTTTATTTATCACGTAAATTATTTTTCCAATTTGGCGTGTCGATTTCGTGAGAGAACGATACAATATAAAACTTCATTATCAATAATAAATGGGAAGGGAAAGGACTTGGAATATAAAATCATAAGTATCCAAAGACCCAATTGTAAATTACATATTTAATTTCTATCAATAATTTTCCAAATACAAAAAAAAAAAAAAAAAAAAAAAAAAA